GACTCAGCCCCTCCTCTGCACAGACATCCCAGAGCCGGGACTCAACACAGACCCTCCTCATGGCCCCAACCCAGGACCCTGATTTGCAGGGCTTGGCATACATTCGCATATCTGACCCTGTGAGTGGGAAGCCTCCACGGCAATGAATCCAGGGCTCCCTCTCTCCTCCGAGAGTGCCCCCATCCCGCATGCATCCTGGAACTCAGGGCCACATTGCAAGGACAACAGGGAAGGGTAAGGAAGGTTTCAGGAAGGGGGGCTCCTCAGAGCTGGCTCTCAGAGACCAGCAAGCCTTCCAGACAGGATACAGCCTGGGTAAAGGTGTGAGTGCATCAGGCAGCGTGGGGTCCCGAGGCCGAGAAAGGAGGTGCATCAGGGTCATGGGAATCCACGGTGCCCCACATGCTCCTTTTCAGCCCCTTGGGGATTGTAGCCCAGCCTTGATGCCCACGATGGGACCTGAGGACCCAGCCCAGTAGTTCGCCTGTATGACTGCCATTGTGGTCATCATTATGGGAGTCGCCAGCCTCCATGAAGACCCCCGCTCTCCCACTGAACATCTGGCCACATGCTGGGCACCCAGCCAGCTGGGAACATAGACAGCAGACGCAGCCCTGCCCCGCTCCCAGCCCCAGTCCATGGCCACCTCACCTCTGGGGTCCTCCCAGACACCTTCCTTGGCCCCCATCTCGAGTTTCCCCCATGGAGTAATCTGAGCTGAGTAAGCACACGCTGAGACCCATGAAATTCCACACAGTGATGAACAGGACAGATGCCGGGGAGGGCCCTGGAGGCTCCCACATCCCTCGTGGCCTGCCGGCTGGGCAGTTCAGGAGGCAGCTGACACAGGCTCCAGACCTTGTGTCTATTGCGTTCATCCCCAGCCAGAGCCTGTGGCTATGGGCTGCATAGATGCCACCTCCTCCCTGGAAACATGGAGGGGCCCCATGTGTCCAGCTGGGCATGACCTGAGCCACCTCCTCTGTGGAGGAGGGCCCCCAGTGGCACCTGCCATGTATCCATCCCACATGTCAAAGACAACAGGAGAGAGGCCATCTGCAGACAAAGGACTTTGACAAACTTCTTCAGACGGGAAGTGGGGCTTACTTAGGACAGTGTGGATGGGAACAAAGTTAAGGGCAGAAAAACAGGGCTGGCTGGGGGCTGGCTGGTGGCGATCACACAACACTGCTGTGAGAGAAACAATGCTCTGTTAATAATTACGGCAGGACAGCAGGTGTAAAGGGAAGTGTCCGGGCAAATACCGCCCCCATCTCTTCCCCACTGCAGACCTGGGCACTGCAGCAGGAGACATTGCCCGGGGGCAGGAGTCCTTCCTTCCAGGGCCTGACCGCCCCAGCTTCTGAATGTTAACGGGAGAGAAATGCGCCAGTCGGCTCCTTCCTGCCTCCCTTATACACAAGAAGAGAAAAGAAGGAAAAGCCAGACATTTGAGGACAGTGTCCAGTGGGAAGTCCCAAGACCAGACAAAAAGGAAAAAACAACCACAAAGGGAGAGAAAATATAGGCAATGAAAGACCCTCTCCCCCACCAAACCCACTTTATCCCTAAAACAGAACAGGATGCTCTGAAGAAAGAATAGAAAGAACTCAAGGAGTGATAGAGACATCTTGGAAACCAAAAACATGACTGCTGAAATCCAAAATAAATTTTTAAAAAACCATGAATGTAGCAAGAGAGAAAGTAAGTGTTGGGATTCATGGAAATCTATCTACAAATCACAAAGGCAGGTAGAAAAAGGAAAGAAATATAAGGTCAATCGAAGGGCCCAACATCTCTTACTGGGAGTTCCCAAAAGAGCAGAGAAGTTTTATCAAAGAAATCCAAAGTCTCCAGATGGAACATGCCTACCAAGTGCCCAGTGCAGTGAGTGACAAAACACCCTCAGTCGTCACAAATATAAGGTCAATCGAAGGGCCCAACATCTCTTACTGGGAGTTCCCAAAAGAGCAGAGAAGTTTTATCAAAGAAATCCAAAGTCTCAAGATGGAACATGCCTACCAAGTGCCCAGTGCAGTGAGTGACAAAACACCCTCAGTCGTCACAAAATCTGGAGCCGCAGCAGCCCACCTGCTCAGCAGTGCTGACCACTGTCGCCCGCCCATGGGAAAACACCCTCAGACCTGACTCTCCCCAGCCCACGTCCAGCAAGCGTGAGGTCAGAGTAAGATGCTTCTAGACCTGCCAGGCGTTACGTTATCTATTCCCACAGGACAGGCCACTCCAAAACTTAGCAGAGAAAACCACCACGACGTGGCCCGGGGCTTGGCAGTGTGTGGGTCAGCGGCTTGGCTGCCACTTACTTTCTCTCTTGCTACATTCATGGCACTTACTTTCTCTCTTGCTACATTCATGGCACTTACTTTCTCTCTTGCTACATTCATGGCACTTACTTTCTCTCTTGCTACATTCATGGCACTTACTTTCTCTCTTGCTACATTCATGGCACTTACTTTCTCTCTTGCTACATTCATGGCACTTACTTTCTCTCTTGCTACATTCATGGCACTTACTTTCTCTCTTGCTACATTCATGGCACTTACTTTCTCTCTTGCTACATTCATGGCACTTACTTTCTCTCTTGCTACATTCATGGCACTTACTTTCTCTCTTGCTACATTCATGGCACTTACTTTCTCTCTTGCTACATTCATGGCACTTACTTTCTCTCTTGCTACATTCATGGCACTTACTTTCTCTCTTGCTACATTCATGGCACTTACTTTCTCTCTTGCTACATTCATGGCACTTACTTTCTCTCTTGCTACATTCATGGCACTTACTTTCTCTCTTGCTACATTCATGGCACTTACTTTCTCTCTTGCTACATTCATGGGAGAGGAGGGATTTGTGGCCTTTTGTATGACACACAGACTCCAGTTTGCTCTGAGCCAGCTCTCTGAGGATGCTCCCTGAGGACGTGCTTCCACGGAAAAAGGCAGGAACCCACAAAGATGACGACATGCACACAGGGACTCGGGGGCAGTGGCTAAAGAGCCCTCCCGAGTGGTGAGAAGCCGGCCTCAACCTGTTCCCACCACTTAGCAGCAGGGTGGCCTTCAGCGAGTGGCTAAAGGGCTTTGTGCCTCAGTTTCCCCACTTAGAAAAAGTGGATAACAATGGTACTTACAGGACCTGGCATAATGTTCCGTAAGTGTCTAAAAAAGAATTTTATAACAAACCCTTAGAAAAACATTAGGTTTAAAAAAAAGCCAGGCCGTAGGATGGTCTCTTCTGGGGTGGGAGTGGGGGAGACGCTTGGCTGTGCAGGGGGCGGGCAGCCCACCCTGGAAGGATCTTAAAGAAGAGGCTCGTGGCCAGGGAGAACAGGAAGCGGAGGCGGGAGAGAGGTTTGCATTGGACACTTTTTTCGCTGTTTGATTTTTTTTTGGAACTATGTGTATGTCTTATCTATTTTACATTTTAAGAAAACAGCTAAAGCGGTGGGTGGGGTGGGGAAGAGGCAGAGGGAGGCAACCAGATGGAAGAACTTCAGAAACAGTGACATGACGGGAAGGGCCCTGCAGCCCTGGCTCAGTCTACAGTCCGGCCCATTGTGACCTCCCTGGCTGCACCCAGGCCTTTGTGACAGCCGCCTGGCACAGACCCGTGAGCCAACCTGACATACAAAGTGTCCTCAGAAAGAGGGTGGCAGGTCGGGCCAGGCCAGAGCCTGGACCTGGGGTCAGGAAGGGGTCACAGGGAGGGATGGAGGGGCCGAAAACCCTGGGCCCCTGCGGCCACTCCCACCCCCAGTGTCCCCCAGCTCCAGCCTCAAGCAACCACGGAGGATGCCTGGATCAGCCCTGCCAGGGATTTGTAAGGTGGCCCTGCTTGGTCCCCCTCACCTCCGCTCACTCAGCCGACACTGAGAGGCCTTTCCCAGCTTCGAGGACAGGGGGTGGGGGGCCCAGGGTTGGGGGTGAGGCACCCAGGATCTTCCTCTCGAGAGAAGAGGGAGAGACGACACAACAGAGAGCGAGAGACCCAGCAGGGCAAAGACAGGGAGAGACGGAGGCGGGGCTGGGGTGGAGCTGGTCTCCGGGACAGGGGGTGGGGGGCCCAGGGTTGGGGGTGAGGCACCCAGGATCTTCCTCTCGAGAGAAGAGGGAGAGACGACACAACAGAGAGCAAGAGACCCAGCAGGGCAAAGACAGGGAGAGACGGAGGCGGGGCTGGGGTGGAGCTGGTCTCCGCATGCAGGGCAAGAGCAGGTTGTGCCCAGGCAGGGGAGGTGCCCATCCCTGCCACTAGGGGGAGGGGCCCCAGCCTCGCCCAGGGCAGCCCCCCCGCAGCTTCAGTGTGGGCCACTGGGGTCTGCAGAACAGTCCTTTCTTCAGCTGGAGCAGGAGAACCATAGCCTGGTGAGTGTGGCACTGACTGTGGGGTGGGCACCAAGCTACCCTGGGGTGCCCAGGCCCCATGCCCCTCTGTCCTCCTCGCAGTCTCTGCCCCAGCCCACCTGCCTGAGAAGCAGCCATGACAGGCCATCCCATCTCTCTGCCCCCAACCTCCAGAAAAGGCAGAACCAGGACCTTCGGGATCAGCTGGGGGCCCTCCTGGGGCCAGGGCAGCAGTTCCTACCCCTGTGTCCTGAGCACTCGAGCTGCACAACCCTGGCCTGGGTAAGTGCAGCAGGACCCTGTGATACAAGAAGCCACACACATTGCCCATGGCCTTGGGGCTGACCTGAGGGCTCTCCCACAGCCTCCTGAGCCACCCAATCCCCAGCCCCTGGAGGACAGGACACCTCTGCAGCTGCTGCAGTGGGAGCTGTGCAGGGGGCAGGAGGCCTTTGTGCAGCGGTCCCAGGTGGGGCTGGGGAATGGGGCTGGGGAGGGGAAGGGGGCCTTCGTGTAGCAGTCCCAGGTGGGGCTTGGGTGGGGGCTGACTAGCCTACCAGCCCTGCCCACACCCACACTGTGTCCCTCCCCCAGAACGAGCTGCAGCAGATCCGACTGTCCTTTGAGAGGAAGAAGATGGCCATCACTGAGGTCCCTGCCTGACCCAGGGTGGGACCCATCCTCCTCCCTGGGTGCTAGGGGACTCACCTGGTGGGCCCTGCCCCTTTGGTGTGACCCAGCCTCTTCCCTCCCAGGTGTGGGATGGTGTGGCCGAGGTACACATGGCGCTGAACAACCAGGCCACGGGGCTCCTGGTAGGTCTCCAAAGGGCAATACCCGGGGAGATGAGGGGACAGGGGCACAGACAGGTGGGGATGAGAGGCAGGGGAGAGTAGCAGAGTGGTCAGGGGTGGAGGACCAGCTTTACCTCCTCTGACCCCCAGAACCTCAAGAAGGACATCCGGGGCGTGCTGGATCAGATGGAGGACATCCAGCTGGAGATTCTAGGGTGACGTGTGGGGCAGGGACCTGGGAGCCCAGCTGAGCCAGGATGGGGAAGTATCCTGGTCAGGATGGGGTGGACCAGTCCCTGACCCCCCAGTCCCACAGCACCAAACCAGGGGGTGGTGCCAGACTGGGGAAGGTTCATGGTCCTGACAGTGTGGTCCCCCAGGGAGCGGGCCCAGTGCCGCGCCCAGGCCAGGAAGGAGCAGCAGCTGGCGTGCTCAGCGGTGAGCCCTTGCCCCACTCGCCTCTCTCAGTCTGGAGACCAGGCCCTTCCCAGGACAGGAGGAGTAGGGAGAGAAGTGGGGGGAAGGAGAGAAATGGGCTTCAGGCAGGAGCCCCCAAGGAGCCAGGTGACCAGATCATCAGGGGAAAGTGGTTGCAGGAGCCTGTGGCGGGAGGGGCAGGGGTGGGGCCCTAGCTGGGTTGACAAGCATTAAAATGCCTGTCCCTCATGGGTCCCTCAGAGCCAGGGATTCCCGCCCTCACCTTGGCCCTCGGGGCAGGCTCTGACCCAGCCCCCTTCCTGACAGAAAGGGCGGTCACAGCTGGGATGTTCCGAGGGCCTCAAAGGCCAGCTCTGGTAGGTCACTGCGCGGGCAGAGCCCAGTCCCCCGAGACTATCCCTGCGGGCGCCCCCTGCCCCTGACCGCCACCGCCCGCAGGCTGCTGGCCCTGAGGCTGCTGCTGGGCGCCCTGCTGGCCTGCACCGCCGCCTACGTGTACGTGGTGGACCCCGCACCCTTCGAGGGGCTGGTGCCGCCCCTGCTGAGCCGCGCCGCCGTCTGGAAGCTCCGGGCCCTGCTCGGCCCCTTCCTGCGCCTCGAGGTGGACGACTTCCTGCCCTTCTAGGCCGGAGGCCCAGCGGCCCCAGCGAGGAGGAGGTCAGGCGGCCGGCGCTGCCCCGGGTGCCCAGTGGCCACGCCGGCCCCTGCCCACGACACTGCCGCGCACCGTCCCCGCCAGGAGCTGCGGAGAAGGGTGGAGGCGGGGTCTGTCCTGAGGGCTGGGCCTGCAGCTGGACATATAGTTGTGACACACATGGCGTGTGAGCTTGTTTCCATGAACTGGGGGGTGGAGGTTTCTGCAATTCCTGAGGTGCCCGGTGGATCTGGCAGTGGGGGTCCCTCAAGGGGGAGCCCCGCTTCAGCCTCCACCCCAGCATCAGGGTTGGCTCCCATGCCCAACACCCCATCTGCCGCTAGAGGGCAGTCCCTCTGTAGGGGCTCTGAGCCCTGAGGGTGTCGCAGGTGGGTCTCTACTGAAAGGTAACTGCAGTGAGGACCAGGGGTCCTTGGGCCTCAACCCCTGGGCCAGGCCCTCCCAGGGACTTCAGAGGGCAGTTTCTCAGCCCTGAATTTGCTGGCCCACTGACCTCATGCCCCTCACATACCCCTCGTCCCCGCTCTGCTGCCCACTACCCCGCCGCCCTACTCCCACTCCTGTCCCTTCCCAACCCAGCTTCCACGGCCAGTCCAGCCTCCTGGCACTACCCAAGGCTCAGACAAGGGGATCACATTGGTGGACAAAACTGTGGAGGTAAACACCAAAACTTTTATTTGGGGAATTAAACTGGTTGGGGGGCTACCCTTTAGAACAACAGAGAATAGTAGCTTTGTGGCTTTCTCATCCCAAAATGGGAGAAATAGAGCCGCTGCCCAGGGTGCACCCTGCACAGGAGAAGGGCTGACAGGGGCTCAACCCTGTCCTGCCCCTGGGGCGTTCCCGCCCAGGGACTGCGGAGCCCTCTGAGCTCCCAGGTGCATGATCTCTGGGTACAGACAGCTCAGACGGGCCAGGATAGAGCTGTCAATGGTAACTCGGCAGGCAGGCGGGCAGGCCAGGGTCAACAGCTCAGCAGGCTGGCGCTCCAGGAAGTTAAGGCATCTGTTCATGTGCTGGGGGAAGGGTGGGGGGAGTGCAGTGACCTGCAGAGGCAACCTGAAACCCCCACCCCAGCCCAACCCAAGAGGCCGGGGCTCCCCCAGGAGGAAGTGGCTTAGTCTAAAGTGCTTGGTTGGGCAGGGAAGCCGGGATGAAGGTCGTGCTGGTTGCCCCCATGGGGTGTTGGACCCCCTGCAGCAGGTGGGGGACTCCCTGAGGTCACATGGACACAGGGTCAGGGGCCCTGGCAGGTCAGGAGTCAGTCAAGATGTGGCTGGTGGAGAGGGCACCCCCAGCCCATACTCAGACCCACCCCAGGGTCTCCTGCCTCCTCTCTTGGCTATCCCAGGCCCCAGAACTGCCTACTTGGCATCCTGCTAGGGCCCCGAGAGACTGGGGAAAAGGCTGGACGCAGCTGAGTGCAGGTGGCACATGGCCCCCCGGGGGGGTGCCCCAGCGGTCGGACTCCAGGGGTCCCGCAGAGGCGGGTGATCCTCGGGGTGGCCCAGGTGGCACAGGTGCAGGCCTGGGGGCACCCTGGGCTGGCCACGCCGGCCCCATCCACGGCTGCAGGTGCTGATCCACCCCCTGCGGGCCGTGGTGTCCCGTGAGAGAGAAGCAGAAGGTGGAGGTCAGCACAGGGCAGAGCTGCAGGTCCCTGAGCCCCGCATGCCTCCCACGCTGGGCCAGCCCCTGCCAGGCTGTCTCAGCCCTGACACTCCCCCACCCAGTCCCTGGCATCTGGCAAGCAGGAATAAGTGCCAGCAAGTGCAGCAGCCCCCATGGGCACCCCCATTCCATCTCCTCCAATCCCCTGGTGCGGCTGCAGCCCCAGCCTTTCCCCAAACACCCTATTACTACTAGAAATGATGCAGACCTGGGGTAAGACACTCTCACGCTTGCCAGCCAAAGACCCATTGGCAAGCCCCACTTCCCAGGCCTCTGACTTGGCTTAAGTCAGCAGAAATGTCCACGAGGAACGCGTCAACCCAGTGCCCACCAGCTACCTGAACCTGCCCTCCCCACATGTCTCACCCGCCCCCGAGGTCCCTGCAGCAACAGCCTTGGCCTTGCCCAAGGAAAGAATCAAAATGACTCTTTTTCTTTTTTTAATAAAAGTATAGATATATAGATGTAGATATAAAAACATAAAACAGACACAACGCAAGCAGACACTGTCATGTGCTTACTCTCAGGTCCCTGATGCCAGGGGAAGCAGTGATCCCCTCCCCAATGTGCTTTCCACGCGGTGCCCACGGCACTGGCCCGGCTAGGGCCAGGGCCAGGGACTTTGCATGCCTGGGGTAGGGGTTCTCCAGTTTGGCAGGGAGGGCCTGAGGGCTGGGGAGGAGGCTCCGGGTCTCACCGGCGCCCTGTGGCAGCGTCCAGCTCCTACCTGCCCACCCGTCGCCTCCCACAAGAGCATAAAGCAGAGGTTAAGGCTTCAATGAAAGGGACAGCAGCGGCCCGAGTGCTAACACATCAGACGTGGCACGGCAGCTCAGAACACAGACAGGGACACGGGCCCACTAGCCAGGCAAGACGGGACACATGGAGCCAGGACCCCTGCCACAGCTGTCCGTCTGTCCGTCTGTCCGTCCACCCATCCATCACAACCCCAAACAGGCCGGGGCTGGACTCCCTGCAGAAGCATCGGCCTTGCCAAGTTAAAAGCTTCCAGAGGGGTCCATGAAAGGCAACGCATTAGGAGCAGCTGGGTGGGGGCCCTCTGTCCAGGAGCCTGCAGGTCTCATTGGGAGGATGGCCAGGGGCCCTGGGTGCCTCTGTCCATTTCTGGGCCACATTTGTATGGGGAGGGGTGAGGCTGTAGGATTGCTGGGAGCTGGCCTGGTGACAACCTGGTGGAATGTGGGTGACAAGGCGGCAGCTGAGCCTAGCTGAGAAGAGGCCTCACAGATGCAGTCTGAGCCCCCCTCACTGCTCAGCCCATGAGAGCAGGGCCACGGACACACAGACCCACAGCCTGGCAGCCCCTGCCCAGCCTCGTCCAGGGTCCCGTCTTCCCAGTGAACAGATGAGTGGATGAACAGGCAGAGGGCATGGGGACAAGCTGTGGAGGCATGGCTCTCTTCCCCGCTGACGAATCCACACCAGGCTTGGGCGGCCTCCTCTCCCTGGGGCAGAGAAGTCGGTGGGGGTTGGGGGAGCTGCTGTGGGGTCCTGGTCCCCGTGGTGCCATGGCAGATGGGTGGCGGTCAGTCCTCACACCGAGATCTCGTACGTAGTCCCACCCACGCCGGACACCTTCTTAACCAGTGTGTGCCGGGCAGGGCTGGCGGAGGGCCCCAGGGGGCCGGTGGCAGGCCCCAACCGGGCCAGGCCCAGGGACTGCCCATTAAGCTTACTTGGGGGGGTCTTCAGCTGAGGGTGGTCCCTGCATCAAAATAAGCACATACACGCACGCACACGGTGAACACGGGACCACGTGGCGACAGAGGATGGCAGCAGCGGTGACAGGACAGACAACATAAACGTGTACTGGAGCCCTGGGCTGGTGCAGCTTGGTGTCATGGGACCCTGGTCAGCCCCTGCCTTCTGAGCTTGGTGGGTCTCACACTGAAAGCAGGTGGGGGTGCAGAACCTGCCTGGGGAGGGGCTGTGCTGTCACAGGACGGACAGACAGACATGGTTGTAACTGCCACCACCCTCCTGGGTCCCTCGGTCCCTCCCAGCTGGCACTGACCACAGAAAGCACAGGGTAGGCAGGCGGACACTGGATCAAGCCCCTGGGCCCTGCCCTATCTTGTCCTGGTGCCCCAAGCTGGGAAACCTGGTGTGCACCCTGTCTGGCCCCCTCCCCACCCCTTCCTAGGAAAACAAGGGGCTGCCCTCCAAACGACAGCACCAACCAATAGTATTTCTGACTTCACTGCTGAGATATTCCCAAGGGCAGAAGCTCCTTCATCCCCTGGCTGCTGTCCCTGCCTCACTGCACAGCTGCCACCCTCTGGGTCTCTGGGTCTCCCATGTCTCACATCCACAAAGGCAGCTCCTCTTTGACCCCATGAAAACTGAACAGGCTCTGGACAGCATGTGGGGAGGGGAAGCCTTGCTCAGGGCCAGACCACCTGCAGCTGGGCTCCCAGTCCCTTTATGGTGGAGTGGCCCGGACAGGGACCCCCTGGGCCTCATCTGCCAACAGGAAACAACTAAGCCTGTGCTGAGGGACACCAGGACCTGGATGGGGTGGGGCTGTGAGGGTGCCATGTTACGCCTGGCTCAGGAGTCAAGGCCTGTGAGGCAGCTGGCCCGGTGTCCTCAGTTAACAACCCGCTGGGGGCCTGGACCCAGCCTGCCCTCCCCATCTATGAGCAGGGAAGCCTCTACTTTCTGGGATTATGTGCCCCACTGAGGGCCAGGGCCCTGGCACCCAGGGCAGCATGTTTTGCTGCAGGGTGACATGCCTCAGCCTCAGCATCCTGGAGATGCAGCTAGGAAGGCCCAGGGAGAGCCCCAAGTGGACAGTGACAGCCTGACGCAGGAAGGTCAGGACCCATGCCAAAAGGAAGCCCTCAGTGCCACGTGGTGCCAGCTCAAGAGGAAGAAGCCCCAGGGCCCTTCCATGTGCTAGGCCTGTGCTGGCTCTCAGAGAATGAGACTTGGGGCTCAGGGCACAAATCCTCCTGCTCCCGTCCCCAGAGCATGCCAGGGTGTCCTTGGAGCTGGGCCGCCCTCACACAGGCTAACCAGGGGCCTTCAAGGCAGGATGAGGCCCACCCTCCCTGCCCTGTCTCTGGAGACAACCACAGGCTTCTGGGATGACCCATGAGTGGCCGGCCAAGAGGTGCCCCGCAGGCAGCCAGACGGTTGCCTCGTGCCGGAAAGCCCACCCCCACCTCCAGACACCCACCTCTGCATAGCCAGCGAGGGTGGTGGTTCCGGGAGGTCTGTGTGGATGAAGGCGACGGCTTTGGGGCCTGCATAAGGGGGTGAACAGGGAGTGCCAGGCGGGGAGGGCAGGCCCTGGCGCACTGGTGACCTGTGTGAGCCACTGCCAGGCCGGGGCCCTGGGGCGTTGTTGTTGGCTTGGTCGGTCTGCAGGGAGGAGGAGGACGTCCGCGGTGCCCGGCTCACCATGCTGGACAGTGAGGACAGCGACGTTTGTAGAGCAGGGTTGCGGGCACCACCGAAGCCGGACCCGGCCACGAGGTCATCCCTGGAGCCGTAGCGCAGCACGGGGCCGCGGGGGCCCTCGGACAGCACGCTGGCCTGCTGCAGGCTGTAGGAGCTGGGCGCATCGTAGACGCCCGAGTCCCCGAAGAGTGAGTCGGCCTGGGAGCGTAGCAGCCGCTCACGTTCCTCCCTGTCCTTGCGCTCCTGGATGGAGGCCATGATGGTCCTGGACAGGTTGTCATAGCGCACGGGAGAGGGCTCCCGAGGCCGGGGGCCCAGCACGGGGCTGAAGCTGCGGGGCGGGGGCCGAGGTGGGTCGCCGGCTGCCCCGGGGTGCAGGTAGGGTGAGTGGTAACCAGCCACACCGACTGAGGGATGGGCAGGGCACGCATGGCCACTGGGTGGGCCGGGGTTAAGCAAGCTGTCATAGGATAGGCTGCCATTGCGGTTTGGCAGCGCGTGGGGGGCAAAGATGCTACGGTGGGGTGTGGGGGGCCCACCCTCAGAGCGCAGGGGCTGCAGAGCCACGTGGTCCCCACCCCGCCGACTTGCAGCCTTGAGGCTCAGGGAGCGCAAAGCACCCGAGAAGGCATCAGTGGCGCTGAGTGGTGGGGATGGCGGGTAGGCCGTGTGCAGGCCACTGGGCCCGTAGTCAGGAAGGTCCAGGCTGGGCTCGGAAACAAAGTCCAGGCTGTGGATGCTGTCATCCCCCAGGGTCAGGGAGTCAGGGCCTGGGAGCTGCAGGGAGAGAGGGCATGCTCACCACTGCTCACCACCACCCCCTGCCCAGCCAGGGTTCAACCACCCTTGCCTGTAGACACCAGGCACTCTGCCCACGTAGAAGGTACAATCCCGGTGACATCAGTCGTGGCAGCAGGTGCAACAGACACAGTACAAGATGCTCCAAATCCCCTGACCAAGCCCATCTCTCCTGTGCCCAGCATGGAAGGACGCTGGGACAGAGAAGAGCCACACTGCAGCCCCAGACGGGGTCTCTGAGGGAAGGCTGCATGGGGCCAGCTGCTGTATGCACTACCCACGTGGGGAGGAGGCAGCCACATAGGCCACTCGCAGGATAGCACCATGGCCTCAGGAGGCGGGCCTTGAGGAGCTGTAACCACACAGTGACGCAGGGCCGTGTCCCCCAGCTCCCCACAGTGGATGGGTAGGGGTCTAGAGTGCAAGGCCAGAGCTGGCTGCTGCAGACACCCAGGGCTGTGCCCTCAGAGCCCACCCAACCCAAAGGGCCCACCCACTTGGGGCAGACACAGGGAGGAGGAGCCTCTTCCAGCCTCTGTGATTGAGGCATATGGGCTGGGGATGGGAACAAGAGCCCAGGAACCTCAAAACCCAAAGGGAGTAGGGTCAAATGTGGCCTCAGTACTCTCAGCTAACCAGTCCAAATCCTCCATGGTATCCAGGGCAGTCCCAGCAAGGACGTGGGGAGAACACCTAAAAGCCCCCATTTCTAAGCAGGACTGACCCTCCTCCTGCAGGCCAGAGCCACTGCATGCCCACCAGGCTCACTTTCTGCCAGGGAGTCCCAGGCTCACTGCCTCGCCCAGTGGCCCCCCAAGCAGCAGGTGGAGCAGGACTTTGATCTTAAAGGGAGAGGGTCCGCAGGAGTGGGGCTGGTCTAGGCACACAGGGCCCAGCCACAGGCCTGCCTCTTGGGGTAGCCCTGAAGGAGGGACACAGCCCACGGACTGCTCCACAATGACCGTAGAGTACTTATACAACTCAGGGAAAATAAATGTGCTTCCTCAAACAAATCTCAAATTCTTCTGAAGCCTTCTCGTGGGCCTTACAGAGTGACTGATAGTGGAATTCTGGGCATTCTAGCACATACTGCTCCTGGGGGCAGCCACCCACCACCCATGGGCAATGCTGGCCAAGGACAGAGACACCAGGCCAGGACTGCCTGCTCCAGTGACACCCAGGACACCCCAACCTGCTCCTCTCCAGTGGTCCCGAGCTCATGTGTGGCTGCCCTGGGCATGGGGCCTCCTGGGGCAGAGCTAGAAATGTGGCATCCCAGGCGTGAGACCCTGGGGGCAGGGCCAGGCCTCCTCACCTGCTCACTAGGCCCACAGAAGGGCACCTTGGGACCCGTGGGGAAGGCTGGCCGGAACTTGTACATGGCAGGTGTTGGGGGGCTGGCCCTCTGCACCGACAGGGCACTCTCTGGGGAGACAGACCACTGTCAGATGGGGGTCAGATGGGGGACCGTCCATGCCCCTCCCCCCATTTGGCTGTCCCACCTCACCAGCACTACTTGGGCGAGGGGTCTGCAGGTCACTGCTGAATGTGCCAGCCTCTATCTTGGGGGGCAGCGGTGGCCCCAGGTCCAGTGGCTTCTCATCCAGCCGGTCCAGGCTGCCCTTTGACTGGGAGGGGGTGGGGTCAGCGGTGGGTGCGGCATGGGGCTCACCTGGGGATTTCTTCCTAGAGCCCTGGAACCTAAACCTCTCCCCAGAATCCACCCAATCCTTACCTCTTCCACCTCTTCTAGGCCCCCTCCAACCTGCCTGCTTTCCCCTCCAAGGGTATGACTCCCACCCATCCTCCATCCCACCCCAGACACCCACCTTGCTGTGGCCCAGGCCAGCTTTCAGCCCGTTGTCACTAAGCTTGACCTTGAGTGGTGCAGCTCGCTCCAGGAGCTCAGGCCGGAGGAAGGGTGGCTTCACGCTCACTACGAGTGGCAGCTGGGGCGGCTCCACCACATACCTGCACCAGGGGCAGAGGGGTCAGTGGCCAGGTGTGAACACACAAGGGCAGGGCTGGCCCCACCTGGCAAGAGCAGAAGTGGAGCAGGCTGAGGGTCTGAGGCTGCCCACCCCACACCCAGCAGAGGCCCCCTCGCCACCCTGCCTGGGCTGGGCCTCACCGGGGCGCCAGGGGGCTGCACAGCACGTGCTCCACGTTCCCATAGCAGCCTCGGGTGAAGGGGTTCACACCCCCGCGGAACTTGCCCGTCACCTGTGGACATGGGACTCCTCAGCCAGCCTGGCCACCCCAGTCCAGGCCAGAGTGGGCAGGGGGACAGGCAGGGGCATCTGGGATTCTTCAGAAGCTGGTCCTTGTGAGAGGTGGCATGGGCAGAGTCAGCCCAGGGGGCCCCTCACTCATGTCACCCCAGCCTGACTCACGTCATCCCTGCAGGGAGCTGTGGAATTTCCAGGCCCCGATCACTGGTGGCTGCAGTGCCATGGGCAGGGAGTGTGCAGGGGGACAGGATAGGGTGGCCCCGTTTCCTGAGCCCCTCCTGGGAGTCTTAGAGGTACAGCCTCCTCCCAACACAGCTAGACCAGCCACCTTGGGCAAGGGTTCCCACAGCCCTGCCCCGACCCCCCAGTCCTCATGCAGCCCTCTCAGCCTATTAGGAACACCCCGTCCCTGATGGGGTCTGCACCTGTTCATTGGTGGTACGCCCCCGAGTGACCAACACCACGTGGAAGCCAGTGAGGCCGATGACGGGGATGAAGAAGAGGCCGGCCACACACATGACAGCCATACTAGCCCGTTAAGGTCAACAGCCACAGGCGAGGACACAATAGACCCCATCAAGGGTGGCACAGAGCAGGTGTCTGTGAACAAACATCCTTCCCGCCCACCTAAGGATGGAGACCCACCCACTGGGGATCCCCGGGCAGCTGACCAACCCCCCAGAGCCTCAATTTCCCCTGTGAAATATGTCCCATGCCTGCACTGTTTTTGTGCAGGACACTCGGGGACCAAGGATACGTGATGGCGGTGTGGGCAGCTCCCAGCCCCTCAGCATGGTTCAGCACGTATACCAGGCCGAAGGCCACGACGCCCACCATGTGCGCACTGAGCGACAGCAGAAACAGGAAGAAGTAGCGGTAGTTGCGACGCCCGATGCAGTTGTTGACCCAGGGGCAGTGGTGGTCAAAGTCCTGGGCAGGAGCAGCGCGTCAGGGCGTAGGGCGGGTGGGGACTTGGCGCGGGGCTGGGAGGGGAGCACGGGGCAGCGGGTGGTCACCTCTACGCAGTTGTCACAGACACTGCAGTGGGAGCAGCGTGGCGGGCGGTAGAAGTGGCACGTGGCGCACCACTTCATGCGGACCTGGATGCCTCGCACATCCACGTTCTTGTACAGTGGGGCCCGGAAGTCGTCCTCCTTGTCCTCGTCCTCGTCCGCTGCAGACCAGGAGCCAGGCAGGGATGGGGGGTAGGGAGAGGAAGGTGACTTCCCTAGCAGAAGAGCCCCTCTCCAATCTCTGCCCAGCCCACCCACTGCAAACCCCCAAGTCTCTCCCAAGTCAGCCACTCACACTCTAGCAAAAGTGAGCAAATGAGCTGCCCCAGCACAGGGCCCTACCTCGGGGGAAGACACCAGGGTCCATGAAGGTGGCCATGCTGAAATTGGCCAGGACAAAGAGGAAGATGATGCCATTGTAGACGGGAACAGCTGGGGATACAGCTCGCGTCAACCACGGGCACCTGCAGTGGACAGTAGGGCAGAGAGCTGGGTCTGGGGGAGTGGCGGGTAGGTGGGGAGGGGATGAGGGGGGAAGAGCTACGAGGCGCAGCCACGTGTGTGCAGGTTGGGCCTGCGAGGCCACCGTTGGTGCACAGCATGGTGACAGAGAGGCTACTGCAGGCAGCCAGGAGACCTCTGCCCGGCCCTCACTCCTGTGCTCAATGTCAGAGGCTGTGCATGTCATGCAGAGTGCAGGCTCCCCAATGCCAGCTCCAACCCTGCCAACCCCTAGGGTGGCTGTTTGGAACACAACTCATGGTTGAAGAAACTGAGGCTCCATAGGCCTGGAGTCACACATTTAGGAGTGGTGACCCCGAGCCAAGCCATGCTCATCCTCCCATCCCAGACCGGCCTCTTTACTGGGCTCCTCTGCCCTGATGGCGGGGGAGGAGGTGCAGAGTGGAGGTGGGAGCCCAAGACAGGAAAAGAACCCACAAAGCCCATGTGCTACAACAGACAGAGGCCAGTGCCCAGCCCTGGGCCTCACCTAGACCTCCCTATCCCAGTGGGGCCCCTCCCCAGGGAGATTCTGGGGTAATGGGAGCCCCAATCTTGGGTCAGTAAATGCATGGGGGGCATCACCCCTGCTCCTCCCTGAGGGGCATATCCCCATCCGGGCAGCCCCTTCTTTTTAGTTTGCTTGTCACCGAACACTTGCTGACTCTGGAAATGCACAATGAACCTCACCATCTCTCACCACCCTTCAGCACTTGACTCCAAGGCCGCCCCCTCTTCCGGGAAGCCTTCCAGGACCCCTGGCTCCCCCTCAACAGCCTCCCTGGAAGTGTCCTGCACACCTCCCTGAAGAGCACCTTCCTCAGCCTCAGCCTGACCAGAGTCCCCTCCATGGGGACCCAGCAGCAGGCTCCTGAACCACCCACTCAGCTCCAGAGAAGCCCCGCTGACCTCATGCTCCCCATCTCTCCTACTGCACCCCCTGCACCCAGCTGCTGTGACAAGGGATGGGCTACACAGGGGATTCACTCTCCTCCCTGCACCCAGGCCCTCTGTGGAACCAATGGGGATGCACCCATGGCAGCCCTGAGCAGGGGGATGGAGCAATGGTGGCCAGCAGCAGGTTGGGCGGGGCCACCGCAGCACACGCCAGCCACGTTGCTGCACACACGCCTGCCTTGGCCAGGAGCCAGCCCCGCCGCCCCGGCAACCACCTCCATGGCAGCAGAACCTCGCTATTTTTAGTGGAAAGCGAGAGGCTATTTAAAGATTGTACTTCCCACAGCAACACCCTTGGTGGGGCTGGGAGCCACAAGTTACCCCATCCTCTTCTCCAGGATCCAGCCTATGGAGGAGGCTGCTAGGCGTGGGGTCAGGGGCTGCAGCCACACGGTTCCCTCTGCCGGAAGGCCTTCCCCCACCTCCCTGCCCTGGAGGCTGGAGTGCTCACCAGCAGACTCCTTCCTTCTACTCTCCATCCCTGGCTGGCATACAGATGGCACTCAAAACATGCTCGTGGCCTCCCAACCAATACCACTGAGCAAGGTGACAGAGGGCCCCTATGGCGTGGTCAGCCCAGCAAGGCAGGGGGCACAAGCCCAAATGACAGCAGGAAGGCTCTCCAATAAGGTGAGAAATGTCCCAAAGAAGGCCAGCCCAGCACCCCAGGGAGAAGTGGGGTCCTGCGGACCCTGCTGGGGCATGAGCAAGCCCCTCACGCACCTTCTGGGAAGGGCTGGCTATGTAATCTGCAAAATGAAAATGTGGGCCCCTCGTTAAAATAATTAAGAATTTCAAGACGGTATCAGCAGAGCCTGTGGAGCTGGCATGCTCTGAAAACGGAAGGGACCGAGGGAGGCCAAGGGGTCCCGAGCCAGCTGAGGGTGGGGTGGACAAACATGCAGGCACGGCGCGGTCTGAGGGCAGGAGCGCCTGGCGCGCGGGCTCAGTCGTTGTGTCTGCTGCCACTCACCCCACACAATGAACTGTGTGCTTGACCCCCCAGCTGTGAGGAAGGGACAGCTTCTGTCCTCCCCATTTTACAGACAAGGAGCTGGGACTGGAGGCCCTGGGGCCAGTCTGGTCTGATTCCAGCAGGGCTCAGGATTGCGCTTGCCTAGCGGGCAGGGCGGCCAAACCCTGTGCTGACCAAAGCTCCCTGCCAGCCCAGGCAGGCTGTACTGCTGTGTCCCCCCGAGCCTCAATTTCCCCCCAAGGCCAGGTGGGCTGGATAGCAGCCCTGAATGAGATGCCTGGGGGTGGGTGGGGCAGCAGCCACGCAGCCACGCAGCCACACGGCCACATATGGAAACTTGCACAGTGACTGGGCAATGCATGCATGGAGATGCTGGGCGGCCTCTGTGTGGCGTGAACACCATCTGCCCGCGTGCCTGTGAAGACCAGTGTGGGGCTTTGGCCGGATGTCAGGAAGGCTGGGGGGAGTGTGGGGCACAGGTTCTCTGACTGGGTCCTGAGCCACTGTCTCCCACCCACCATCTCCAGCCCCCCAGACTTCACTCAGGCCCAGGACCAGGCACTCATCCTTCTTGTCCTCCCCCAAGGCACTGCCTCAGGGACCCTCAGGCCTGGACCCCACATAATGGGGACTGACTCACTGGCCCATCTGGCAGGGCCCAGAACTCAGGAAACATGTGGGCTAAGTAGGGGAGAAGAGGAAGAGCACATGCCAGGCACGTGCACAGACACATGCATGAACATGCATGGACATGTGTGCACACAAGCAAATATGCTCTGAGGCACACATGCACACACACACAAACACATCCACATGCAAGACACATACATGCACAAACACTTGCATGCACAGACACACACACTTGTGGGCACACTGGCACACATATGTTAACACACATACACATGGCCACACAGACGCACCTGCACATTCATTCACGCACAGAGATGTGTGCACGTGCACACATGAACATACACGTGTGCAGATGCCCCTCCTCCCACCATCCCCAGCCACATCCAACCCTGGCTCGGCTGCCCTTCACTATGGGCCTCAGGCAACCTCCCTGGGCTTCCCTCTGCTCCCCTCTGAACAGTGCAAGCATGAGGACACACAACGACATGTGAGGACATACAAGGATGTACAAGGACTCAGGAGGATATGCAGGGACACACAGGACGCATGAGGACACACAGGAGTGCTCATGGACAAGGCCCGGTAGGTAGTAGTGCTAACTCCGTGCTTGTGTCCATCCTAGGCTCAGGGGCGGGGGGGGGGCTTCTCTTCCTGCAGGGATGACACACCCCCCACCAGGTCTGATGGTGCACACCAGGCTTGCCTCACCCTGGCTGGCTCCATGGGGTCCCACCACAAGTCCTGAGCTTGCCAGAGGGACAGAAAGAAACAGGCAGGCTACAGGCCCCTGGGCCATAGACGGGATGTCCAGCCTTCAGTGGATGGGACACAGGACACACTGCGGGCTGAGTGCGGGCCTGGGGGGTACCCAGCTCTGAGGCCCCAAGCCCTCCTCCAGGTCCTGCCCCCACTTCTTGAGCATCAGGGCCACAGGCCAGGACATGCGCCACCACCACCACTGTGGGCCCCACCCGGGTCCAGGCTGAGTCCCGCCTGGGCCAGCAGGGAGACACCACCCAGCAAAGGGGGGGTGGCTTAGGGGCAGAATGTCTGCCACAGCTAAATGTGGAATGGAAAATTTTTTTTTTTTCCTTTTTGTCTTTTTTCGTGACCGGCAACGGATCACAACCCTCAGTGTCACACCCGTACCGGACCGGGACCAGCAATGGGATCGCAACCCTCGGTGTTGCGCCCACACCTCGCTCAGCCCGTGAGCGGCCGGTCTGCATGTGGGATCCGAACCCTCGGCGGGAGC